TGTATTTTTTTCTGAGACATTGAGCCTTCTCTGTCAGAGAACTCTGGTGCCACAATAAAATACAGTTCCCATGATTCCCTAGCACTAACCCTAACCCTAAAAGTGGACTCAATTTGCACTATTTCTGGCAGTCTGCAATCCCCCTGAGAGGAGTTTATCGCTCACCAAATTAAGCCGTCTTACCTCTTCTGGCTTCAATCCTGGATCTGGGATACCCCGGATGTTATCAGACATAAATCTCCACCAATTTAGCTGCGATGCCACCAGCCGATTTCATCCTGGGTCAAAGCTTCACACAGCCGGCACTTTTTCAGTTGGGGAGTTTCCAACTTCAAAAATTGGCCAGGATGGATTTGGCAGGCAGCATCACGGCTAAATCAGCAGCAGTTTATGTCTGACACCATAAATAAATAAATAAATAAATAAATAAATACTACCACGTCTTTGATGGCATTATTTGCTGGCAAGGTTATTTGTTTCATAGGATCATATGGTGAGCCTATGAATGAGAGATCTTCAAGATCTCTAGTCATTAACAGCCCTGATCACGTCTTGCAAACTCAGGGCTATAGCTTTCTTGATTGAAGAAATCCATTTACAGTGTGGTCTCTCTCTTATCCTACTATCTTCCATTTTAACAAGCATTAAAATTAAACATTCTATTAAATGATGTTTGGTTGTAAAAGATGGACAACACACTCCCATGTTTGTTTACTCAGACATACAACTAAGTTACCCCCATGGAATTTTTTTTAAATTCACTTATTTGGGAGCAGATTTCTGAAACTTGTTATTAAAAGAGTAATGAGCAACAAATTACTGTTTTCTATTTGTTGCTCATCACTCTTGATATTGTTTTTGTTGCTATTGTTGCTGTTGTATTGTTTTCTGTTTTTAAGTAACTTGTTGGTCTTACTTATTGTTTGCTATTGACAGTTCCTTTTAGTTCCTTTTTTCCCCCAAAAAACACACTTTAAAAATACCCAAAAAAAATGACCAAATATCTTCCCAACAACTTTTGTGGATTAACATCAAAAATGCTTCGTTACACTTTAAGAAAGTAACAATATTACCAGTCATTGGGTCATTTTTGAAAAACAGTGTTGTTTTTCCCTTGCTATCCTTGTTTACTTTCAAATGTACTATGTTATTTCCAACCTCTGCCTCAAACTATGTATCTCTGAAATTAATGGGTCTTAGGTTCCTAAGCAAATAGAATTGTACTATTTAATCTATACACATCTTATAAATAAGATATACATTTTAAAATAAACTGTAAATGCATAAATAAGAAAACTGCTATGGCTAGCATGCAGGGGTAGCTGTGTTGGCCATTTAGCAAATTCAAACTAAAATCCTTCAGTGATACCTTTATTGGCCAACCAAAATGTACACTGATGGATTTTTGTTTGAGTTTGCTATGGGTAGGTTACTAACACTGCAATTTCAGAAATCAGGACAGGTCATTGCAGAGTCCTGCGGCACGCAGGAAGCTGATAGAGGAGCCTTGAAAAGTATGCAATAGTAGAAAGATGGAGGGGGAACCTCCTTTGGGCAAATGATCCTTTCAGTGAAAGCAGGGATGTTGTAAATATGCAAGAGTTTCCCTGATTTAATCTGGAAAATGTTGAAGGATGTTACCAGTATTTCTCTGTATACATAACTTTAGTGTAGAGTTTGGGGCTGAGGTAATAAAAGTAATGATATTACCTTAAGTTGTTACTTTATGTACAACGTGGGCATAAAACTTCCTTCCTACACCTTTCCATCATGTGCTGTGATATAAAACATAGGCTGGAATCCCTTTGTTTTATGCCACATGCATGGCAATCCATTATAAACGCATTTGCACTTTCTCAGCACTTGTGGAGGGAGCAGTAACAAGAGAAGATGGCCAGATCCGTGTTGCCTATTTCCCAAATGGGTGGCTTTGGCAGGGGTCACTCTGGGAGGAATGAATCAGAACAGTGGTAGAAAACAGGAGAGTGATGAGGCCAATTTCACACCATAATCTGCCAGTTAGCTGCACCATCATAGACATTTTGGCTGATGTTCATTTAGTTCTTGGAGATTTGGGTATTTAGGAGGTTGGAGGGTCTTTGAGGGGTGGGAAAAGTAAAGCACCTCATTTTTGGCTGGTTTTGAGCTCATTTGGCTGATATTTGGATTTTAAAAAAACCCTAAAAATCAGTGCAAAAATCAGAGGCTACAAATTGAGACTCCAAGGGCCACATGTGGTCTTCAGGCCACAGTTTGCTATTCCTGGCTTAAAGTCTATAAATTATTACAGTTATAAATGTTAGCAGTAAATGGTTCCTAGAACAGATCAAGCCTTAACTCTCCGTGGAAGCCAAGATGATGAAATTAAGGCTGTCATACTTCAGCCACATCATGAGAAGGCATGGTTCACTAGAAAAGAAAATATTGTTAGGGAAGATAGAGGGCAGCAGAAATAGAGGAAGACCACACACCATCCAGATGGACAGACTCAGAGAAGTCACGGGCCTGAATTTACAGGAAGCTAAACAGAGCAGTGGAGGACAAAGGGGCTTGGAGATGTTTAATCCACAAGGTCATTATAAGTCGGGGCCAATTCAAGGGCAGTTAACATACGCACATAATTGTCAATGCTAACATCCTAACCATTTTCAGTTATGTTTCCTAATTTTGCTTTAGTGTTACTCCTAACACAGGGAACTAAACATCCTAAAGGCATCAGAACCTGACTGATTTTGGAAGCTAAACAGGGTCAGCTCTGGTTGGAGCTTGAATGGGAGACCACTAACAAATACTAGGTGCTGTAGGCTATATATCAGTGGAAGAAACTGGCAAAGTATTGAGTATTCCTTGCCTAAGGAAACCCTATTAAATTAATGGAGTCACCATAAGTCAATAGGCAACTGGAAGTTACACACAGAAACATATTCCAAACTCTGCCTTCTACACATAAAGAAGCTCTACCCTCAGGACTCTACCTTTTGCATTATATCACTCTTTAAAGCACCATATACACTAACAGAGTATATAAAAAAGAGCTCTACTTTGTTAAAACAATCAATAATTATTACATTTCATAAATAATGACCAGAATCCTGTTGGGGACTTTATGTCTCCATAAGTGGACTTAGGTCTGCAGGAATTAGAATTGGGCAGTTCTGTTATGATGCTGTGTAAAGGAGTCAACAAAGTGACAATGAGACTTGGGACTGATGCATAACAGGACTGATGAGCATCTGTCCTGTTGTGCATTTGGATACCAATTAGGGAGTGCCAATGCACATTGGGACACTCCTGCCGGTGGCCTGCTATACATCTTCACAATTCACTAACAGGATTTCTTAACACTTCTGCTATGTAGTCAGGTACAGTCAGTCCTCTGTATCTTTACCGATGGATTCAACCATCCAGAGCCTTTCAAAAAATATATAAATTCCAAAAAGCAAACCTTGATGTTGCTATTTTGTATAAGGAACACCATCCTACTATGCCATTGTATATAATGGGACTTCAGCATCCACAGATGTTGGTATCCACAGGTGCTCCTGGAACTAACCCCCAGTGGATACCAAGAACTCAGTGTATACATAAAGTTATGTAGCATACACCATGATAAAAGATTCTGACCATTATATAAATGCACAAGCATTAGGGAAGTGTAATGTAGTGGTCTGAGTACTGGGCGAGCACTGTGACAGATCAGGGAAATTCTTGTGTGACCTTGAGGAAGCCACATTATCTCTGCCTCCTCTGAATAAATCTGGTCAAGAAAACCCTGTGATATGTTCATGTTAGGGTCATCATAGGCTGAAAACAACTTGAAGGCACACAGCTGCAACAACAAAGAAAAACTAAACCCACTGATAAAGTGACTGGTGGACATTTAGTTGTAGGTTTGATCCATCAACAGAGCTGGAAACTACTGCTATTCAAAACCAGGGAGATCTAGTTTCCAAATCACCTGTCTCTATGGGTTGAGGATACAATTCATACAATGTAAAACAATTTTCCTCAGTTGCTGGATCATCTATGGTTTACCAAGAAGATACATGAATACAATGGCAAATTACCATGTGGTAAATAGATACCTCTGTTCACACTTGGGGATGAAAGTTCAAGGATGGGGAGAGTGAGATGGATAAGTATTTTTCTGAGTGTGCAACACCATCTGGCAAATCAGGACTCCTTGGATTTTTTGCTTTAAATGGACTAATCAAAATGGTTTTCTTTTTTGCAAAACTATCAGAAACTGGACTCCTTTTTTCCCCATCCACAGACAATAGCAGTTCTTTTGTTTCTTGTTTTTCCAAGATATAGTTAAAGAATAATGGGATTAAATTGTAGGGTATAAGAAGGACATTCAGTGCCTTCCCCCCCCCCCCCATTCTGTGCTATTATGCTTTCATTCACATACATAGATTTGCCCAACTACACTAAAGCCTTTAATTAAACAATGGCTGCACAAGAGAAAACAAAACTGCATTCAGTAACTTTATAGAAGCACCATAAACAGTGACACAGTGTATCCATATAAACATATATTAGAGTAATAGTAAGATACAATGTAAACTCAGAATATTTGTTGAGAGCTATTCTTACCTATTCATCATGCTTCATACTTCATTTATACTCCCACTTTTTCATTTATACCCCCACCATGGTGACTCAAGACAGATTACAAATTAAAATAAGTGCAATACCAGTTAAAACATACAAAAGATCAACATTAAAACAATTAAACTATTAAAAAATTAAAAATAAACAAAAAACAGTAATGTATCTCTGTAACTTTTGTTCTTGCAGTACTGAGCTGGAGGAGAGGGTACATTAGGAAACTTTATAGCCATCTTTCCTTTCACTTAATAAGGTCTTGCATATATTTTCCCCTTGCTTGATATATTAATTTTATGCTTTCATCTGTTTTGTAATATTTTGGCATTGCATCACATTGTTAACTGCTTTAGTTGGATGGCAACAATAATGATGATGATGATGCAATGAGAGCCAGTGTGGTGTAGTGGTTTGTGTGTTGGACTTTGACTCTCGAGACCAGCGTTCAATTCCCTGCTTGGCCATAAAACCCACTGGGTGACCTTGAGCAAGTCACACTCTCTCAGACTCAGGGAAGGACAATGGAAAACCTCCTCTGAATAAATCTTGCCAAGATAACTCCATGATAGGTTCATCTTAGGGTCACCATAAGTTGGACATGACTTAAAGGCACACAACAACAACAACATTTTCAATATTTTGTCTAAAAATGCTCATGTGCATTCATAATGATCTCCCTGTTACTAGGAGTCCCCAACCCTTTAAATACAGATCCAGGGTTTCTGACAAGTGTCCATCTTACAGTGGTCTGGTGCATCTTTTTGTACTTATGCCTAGTACACCAGGTGAATCCTCTACTGGAGGACAAAAAAAATCATAGTCATCAAGTATATCTAAGGAGATTTTTACACAAAGCTTCCTTCCCAATGCGGTTGTGGCTTTTTAAACACCTAAAACAGCAACAATTCTTATCACATTATCACACAATTGCAAATTGATATCAGGTTGTCTATGGATCTTATTGCACTACTGTTCCCTTTAGTTTTCAGCTAGCCGAGATTAATCAGTAAAGTAGTCTTCCTTTTGACAGTGGAGTGTGTGCAGTGAAAGCCCTTTAAACCCATTTTACTCTTTTTACAACATTAAATGGTTGCCTCCTCAGCACTAAGAAGTCTTGTTTTCAGTGGGAATGGGGTGTGTGTGTATCCCCGTGTGTGTCCATGCAGTGAAAGCCTTTTAAATCCCCTTTCCTCTGCCCAAGATGGATTGCCTCCTCAGCAGTAAGAAGTCTTGCATTCAGTGGACATGGTGTGTGTCTGTGTGTGTGTCCATGCAGTGAAAGCCTTTTAAATCCTGTTTTTATTGCCACAGATGAAATGGTTGCCTCCTCAGCACTAAGAAGTCTTGCTTTTAATGGGAATGGTGTCTGTCTGTGTGCATGTCCAGCTGTGTGTCCGTGCAATGAAAGCCCTTTAAATCCCCTTTTTTCTGCCCAAGACAGATTGACTCTCAGCAGTAAGAAGTCTTGTCTTCATTAGGAATGGGGGAGGGTGCAGTGAAACCTGTTTAAATCCCCTTCTCACTGAATTATCCCTGAATGACCTATGACACATACTTCAGTAATGGGCTGAGGGACTGACAGCTATTCAAGGGATTTTTCCATTCATTAAAAGCAGCAGCAGAAGCATGGATTGATTACAGGATACCTACTGCCAAGCCACTGTGTGGTGTGATAAGATCCCATGATTGCAGTTTCAATCCCACTTCTATCCCACTATTGAAGAATTATGCAATAATCTCCTAGATCTGATTTCTGTAAAGTATTTATAATGGAGCTGTCACTGAAGACTTTTCAGAAACATTAAGTACTCTACCAAATAGCAGTCAGGCTTCTAACAAAAACTGGTGAGAAAGGCAATCCTAAAAGAGTGCTACTGGTTATCCATCCTTACTTTCAAGGCACAATTTAGAATGCAGTTTTTGAACTTTAAAGCCTTAAACAATCTGGGCCCTGGTTATCTAAAACAGTGTCTTCTCCCTCTAAGATCACCTGAAAAGCCCTATTGAGGTATCTGGAGCGATTTGAGACATATACATGTTGTTCCAGATCAGATAGAGCAGGGGTAGGCAACCTTTCCCCTTTAAGGGCCGAGGGACTTCAGCTCCCAGAAGCCTCAGCCATGTTGGCCAATAGTCCCATGTTGGCCAATAGCTCCTGGGATTCTGGGAGCTGAAGTCCCTGGGCCCTTAAAGGGGAAAGGTTGCCTACCCCTGAGATAGAGTCTTCAGTGCATGTTCACAATGTAAGGGAAATAGTTTATAAAGATAAAGAAACCTACTTTACTGGCCTCCCACCGACAGGGCTTTGTATGTCTTGGAGACTCTGACATTAGAATTCTCCTAATGGCAGACAAGATTGCTATGCCCAGGCAACTCCCAGTACTATGAACTGAGCAAAATAATGAATACAAAGACAATGTGATTCCTTTAGAACTAAATTGGTCAAAATTCCAGCTGCCACATTATGCATGAACTGTAGCTGACCGGCTATTGTCCACCACTACTGATCTTCTCAGCCAGACACCCATGGTCAGCTTCCAAGACTACCCTTTGGAGAGACCACTGTATGAAAATGAGTACTATCCACTACTCATTCTATCAATATGTTTGTACTCTGATGTTGCAGTCTTGCAACATCTTAGGCAACAGTGGAGCAAGAGAAGGCTTCGTTATTTTACTTCTAGTCATGTTTCTACTTAAAATCTCCCATCCTTATTGTTTTCCTAGGGTTTGTGTGTGCACACAGGTTAATATTTAAACAGAATCATATTGTCCATATGATTATAAAATTGTGGAAAGAATTCAGTATCTTCAAACTCTTTCTTTGGAACTCTGTTTTCAAAGAGCAAGGAAACAACAACAACATTTCATGTGATCAATTATCCCCTTATTTAATTTTCATGTGTGCATAACCCAGCTGACATCAGATGGACAGCAGACATTGGAGAATTGTTAGCAAACAAGTTTGAAAATCTACTTTTTAACTCCTACTCAGCAGCTTTGTATTAGAAGCCTTTAATTGGATTGTGTTTCCTTTAGAAAGCCTGTTCCATTTAATTTCCTTTTCTGCTTGTCAGTCCTGACCTTATGTAAGCCATTTTCCCCAATGAACACAGATCTGAAGAAGATTCCAGTGTGTGTGTTTTAGAGTGAGTCGCATCAGGTAAACAAAAGTGAATTTCCTTAATATACAAGTCAAGAGAGAAGAGAAAGTGTAAAGAGATATCATTACTGAGAAAGGAACAGTGAAAGATCTATTACTACTTTGAATCTCAAAATGCATCTGATGACATTGTTTGTTAGGACTTGCTTCACATTTCATGATTAGCAGGGCCTCAAGCTTTTTTCATAATGTTGAAAAAAATTGTATGGCAGAAGTGGGCAAGCCATGGTCTTTGAGACAACATCTAGTTATTTTTTTAGTGACTCCTGCTAAATTGACAGCACTACATGAACTGAATACACGGAGAGCACAGTGCAGTAATATTATCAGAAAAGAGATGAGTAGGTATGTTTTCAGATGATAACTCCCTAATCCCCCATCATTGGTTATGCTAGGTAGGGCTAATGACAGGTTAATTAAAAAAATAATCTGGAATTCAACAGTTCCCCACTCCTGGACTAGAAGATCCTATTGACATTTTTAATCTCCTGTTGTCAAAAATCCTTTGAAAAAGATAGTGGCGATGCAAACTTATTTATTTTCAAAAAAATCTCTTAAAAAGCAGGCAGCAAGAAAAAACTTAAAATATTAACAATGCGGGCTCCTGTATTTAAAAGTTAATCTTAATTTATCTCAAGGAACACACTTGTAATGGCAGAAAGGGGAAAAATGAGGTCAAAGTAATGTGAAGGAAAAGATAAGCTGTCACTCCTCTGAATCTTGTTTTCTAACCTTGCTGCCCCTTTCTGCCATCCTGCCATTCACCCTGCCATGAAACTGATAATCTGTGCATCCTACTTAGCATCAGTCTTTCCTCACATTTGTGTTGCAGATTCAGGCTGTACTTCAATCATGCCCTTTGTAACACCATACAAATCTTTTTTGAAAGCAACCATATGGCATTCATAAGAAGCGTAAGTCAGACTTGCTCCAAAGTTTTCTGATGAATTGGTCTCTAGTAAATGAAATCTTGTATCATAATCACTGTATGAAACTTTATGACATCACATAACTTTTTTTTTAACTGAGTACCTGTTGATCATGTAATTTAACCCCTACCCATTGGTGGGGTGTATGATGAATCAGTGTGTGCACACACAAGGTTTCACTGCTAGAAAATTTGGCCAAGGCTACTTGTGTTCTCATTTCACTGTGATATTACATTTCTCTTACAAGGAAACAGTTGAGAACCAGATTGGATTTGGGTGATCACTTAGACATTGCCATTTTTTAAAGTGTGGATTAACATCCTATCTAAAAGAGGGCATAGGGTTTTTTGTTTTTTTAAAAAATGTCCTTTTGTGCCTTCAAATCATTTCTGACTTATGGCAACCCTAAGACAAGCCTAATTTGTGCTCAAAGACATAGCTGTGTTAGTCTGGAAAATCAGT